ACAATTTTTATAGGTAAGTGCATGTGTGTCTACACACACACACCCCTACACTGCTATTGATTTCTTGTCCATTTGTGAGGATGGCTTTTTATTTATTTGTTTAAAAATTATTTTGTGTGTTTACTGTCAAATTGGATCTGACTGGTACAGGAGGAGATTGCTCCTCCTTCTCCAGCAGAGCATCTGGTGGATTCGAACCACATACCTCTGTGATTGCAGTGCAGCTTCTTGCCACTGGGCCCCTAGAGCTCCCCAAGGATGGCTTTTTCTTGTTCATTTATTAGTAACTTTTGCTTTTGCAAACAGCTTACTCATATCTTGAGATCTTTTTTATATTGAGATGTTTTCCTTACCCCTTTGAAAGAACTCATTATATTAGAAATAATAATTCTTTGTCAACATTTGAAAACAATTTTCCCTGTTTAACTCTTATTTAGTAGTCATTTTTCTCTCACTCCTTTGGAAGAGGTGAGGAGAAAGAAAACACATTTTGGCTACAGCTCAGGACACAAGAACAATCATGGAGTTGCCATGGGTAAACTGCACAAAGTTTATGGCCGTTCCAACCCAATTAGGAAGTTCTATCCCAGCCTTTAGGATTGCTAACAGTTGAAATCTATGCAATAGCAAACAAGTTTGTGGTGGTTGTTTTTTTTTTTTTTTAAATCCTATCAAGTATCTGTATGAACTGATTATATAACCATTTCTTTTTCTTCCTTTTTTGTCTCTAAGATAATCAAAGTGAAAAAAAAAAAAAGAACATTATTAAAGAGTCATTGAGAATGCTCCCTAGAACTAAATATACACAATGGTCAACTTATTAATTATAATAGTTAATCAGACTATTAAACATATCATGGTCTATAGCATGATACTCTTTATAGAAAAGGAAATGTTTCTGCTGCACTTTAATGACTTAACTACCAAATCATGTTAACTTGGGAGTGAGGTGAATCCATGTGAAACAAGCTTGTCTGAGCCATGGAAACAGACCAGCTGGGAGGGCACTGGCCACTCAGAAGGTGAGCTGAGAGGGCACAGAGAACTGGAGAGTTTGCTCTGGGCAGGATTCGCTAGGCTCCCTCTCAGAGGGAGGACAAGCATCAAGTCATGCAACCCACCTACAGGGTGAGATGACAGCAAACCTAGCCCGCCCCAGGTTGAGAAGGAAAACTCATCATTCCTAATGCATTTCAGTTTTAACTATGAAAGTGAGAAAGGATTTATTTCAGTATCTGAACATAAATCAGGAACCTACAAAGCCAGGTTTAAATACAGAAATATCCTTAAACACATTTTAAGATGGTCTTCATAGTGAAGTTCTTTTTTGATTTAAAAAAGAAAATGAAAATTAGCACTTACCTTACCAGACTGTCAACTCACCATCATATTGTAAAAATCCATTTTTATCCATCTCTATCTCTGACTCTGGCTAGAGAAAAAAAAAAAGTAATGAAGTTGTAACCAAAATGGCCTGCATAAAGAATACAACTATAGAATGATGAGGAGATAAGTCCATGAAAAATCCTCTAGAGGATGCTGAGAAAGAAAATCTAAGATCAGCAGCAGTAAGTGGTGCCATCTAGTGGACAAGCAACCCTACTGCATGAGACTCGCTTTCACTATAAAAGCAAACTTAGCAAAGACCCTTTGGATGCCATTAAACTAACTTTACTACTAGAACTTTTTATGTTAAATAGATAATCTAAGAAATTTATAGATACCTTAAAATAATCGTCCTGAGATATGACACTACAGTTTGGGAGATGTTTCTGCAAATTCTTAGCCAGTGTTGTCTTTCCACCATTTGTGACGCTAAAACAAAGGAAAGAATAAAAAAAAAAATAACAAGAAGGGAAACACATTATAAAAACTAAATAAAATCCCCAAGCCTCTAGTACACCTTCAAAATTAAAACAAAGCTTAACCCAATGGCTCAACTTTCATCCAATAATAGACCTATTAGGTGAGAAAACACACCAGGGAGGGACTCTTTTCTTAGAATAAGAGCACATGGGCAGCATTTGTCCAGGGATAAAGCTCTGAAGGCAGAAAGGGTCAGATAGAAGGATTAGTGGAAATCAGAATTACAGGGAGGAAGCAGGAAAAGCGATTACAAGTTGTTGTGGCTATATACCGTTGAGTAGCTCACAACTCATAGAGACTGTATGTAGAGCAGCCCTGAAACCTGCTCTATCCTGTGGCAACTTTACTATCACTGACACACCTATGCTCATTACCCCAGTCACTGCATCAGTCCATCTCACCGATGGTCTCCCTCTCTTTCTCTGTCCCTCCACCCTTCCAACCATGATTTCCCTCTCCAAGGACCAGTCCCTTCTTGCAACATGGCCAAAATATGTCAGACAAAGCCTCAGAATCCTGGCCTCCAAGGAGCAGCTTGGCTTCACCCTTTCTAGGATGAACCTGTTTGTTCCCCTGGCAGTTCACGGTGTATTGAACACTCTTTTCTAGCATCAAAGCTCAAAGACATCAATTCTCTTTCTATTATCCCTAGTCATTGTCTAGCACTCTGACACATAGCAAGCAATTGTGAAGACTATAGCCCGGATCAGGTGCATCTTAGTCTCCAGACTTGATGTTGTTGCTCTTCAGTACTCTGAAGAGGTCCCTGACAGCTGACTTTCCCTATGCAATTAGTCTCTTGATTTCCAGGCTGCTGGTACCAAGAGTGTTGACTGTGGAGTCAAGCAAACTAAAGCTGTTAGCAATCTCAGTTTCTTCATCATTTATCAAAATGCTGCCAATCAGCACAGTGGTGAGAATCTGTTTTCTGAGATACTGGCCACAGCATAAGAAACTGGCAGCAGTGCAGTTGTTCAGAATCACATAAGTTCCAACAGCTTGAGACTTAAGCCATCACATCAAGGGCTGGATAAGGGGAGACAGGTATTGAATGGTGTAGGTGGCCACAGCGTCCCTTTTCAGCAGGAAGTAGCTAAGAGAATACGCCATCCCCTTTTCCTTATGGATCAGGGTGAAGTCTCTCTCAGGGAGGAGCGATAGGGAATGGCAAAGGACACACTGACAAAGGAGATTAATCAGAACTGGCTTTGACAAGCACTGTGGCAAATGGACAATTAAAACAGACATGGGGGGAGGAGGAGAACGAACTGGGGATGAGGGTGGAGAAAACAGTGCAACAATGAATGAATGAAAACCCAAAATCTCTGTAAATGTTCATTAAAACTAATAAAATTTAATAAATAAAAAAAAAGAATGGTGTAGGTGGGAGTGGAAGAGGGGATGCTGATGGAATAGGGAAAGTGGTGGGTAGCAACACTTAATCTATTGGTCACTTCTATAATTTAGATTAAATAATGTATAATGGTTACAATTTAGATAATGTACTTAATGCCACAGGACGCCCTCATGGGATAGTCCATAAAAAGTTGTACTGCTAACTTAAAGGTGCAGCCTCTTCGGTGATTCAAATTCACCATCAACTGAAATGAATGACATAAAACTAAATTTGTACGGATGGATGAATAGGAAACCAGTTTGATCTATACATTTTCATTCCAATCATAAAAATAAAGAGAGAAAACATAAATAAAGATGTATTGCGATGGGAAAGTCTGCTGTTAGGGACCTCTCTAAAGTACTGAAGAACAACGGTGTGTCTCTGGAGACTAAGGTGCATCTGGTACAGGCCGTGGTCTTTGCAATCACTTGTTATGCATCAGAGAGCCGGACAATGACTAGGGAGGATAGAAGGAGAATTGATGCTTTTGAGCTTTGGTGTTGGAGAAGAGTGTTGAGGGTACCATGGACTACTAAGAAAACAAACAGATTCACCCTGGAGAGGGTTAAACCGGGCTGCTCCTTAGAGGCAAGAATTCCGAGGCTTCATCTGACATACTTTGGTCATGTTATAAGGAGAGACCGGTCCTTGGAGAAGGACATCATGGTTGGGATGGAGGGCAGGCGCAGGAGGGAAAGGCCCTCTGGGAGGTGGATTTATTCGGTGACTGGGGCAATCGGGATGAGTGTGTCAGAGACAATGATATTGGCACAGGACAGAGCAGTGTTTAGAGCTGTTGTACATAGGGTCACTATGAGTCGCAAGCGACTTGACGGCACGTAACAACAATAAGTAAAAAAAAAATCCTTAGAGAAAAGTATTTAAAACATTATTTAATATCTAAGAAAAATATTTCTTTAGTAGTTATGAGTTTTTCTGATGACTAAAGTATTGGCAGATACTGGTGTGCTATGGAAATGAAAGAAATAATTTGGAGTGGTTCTAGGAGAAAGGTGGGCAAGTGAACTTGGTAGGACTAAGACTTAGAAATTATTATTAATAAGAAATTATTTCACTATTATACTGAGATAATATTTAAATATTGTGCATAGTAAATATTATGCTAGGAGCAAAGGATATTTGAGTGTCGCAAATATTAATTCTTGGTTGGCATTAGTCCAAATAACAGGAGGAACAGTTTAGTGCAAGTATATAAAACTGCACATGATAGAAGTGATTTTGTTTTAATGCAAAAGATGAGGAAGTGGCTTATTCCACTTCACCTACTGTGGATTCATAATTCTTTCATAATTCTCCTGTGAGGCTTCGCTTTCTTTATCTCTCTGTACCCCGGGGTTAGACAGGAGGTCAAGTACAGGCTATCACATTTATTTGTCCTGTTTGCCTGGATTACGGCACCAAGGAGAACAGGGACCCTCACAAACTCTTTTCTATGTCTAGGTTCCTGCTTCCGTCACTACAAGAAGCACGTGGAAAGCATTTCGTTATTTACTCCAGAGTTTCTTAGCTTAGGGCTCAGGCAACTCCAAGGGGGCTGTAAATAGAATTTGGGATCTGTAGGAATCTCAGTGGAAAACAAATTCCACCTGTATTGTCACTAACTGGAAATGTCATGCCTATCATTTAACTCTCTCACTGCCAATTACTTGAAACTGATTCAGAGTTGATCCTCCAATGGGCTTGTAAGGCTGTGAATCGCACAGGAGCTGCCTGCCCATCTTTCTCTTGTGTATCCCCTGGTGGATATGAACCACCAGAGAGGTGCCACCTTTGCCCCATGGGAGAACGAGGTGCAATCACTTCCTGTGTGATTTACAGCCTCTTAAAAACTGCTGGAGGCTGTTATAAGTTGATTTAGACTCGAAGGCAATGAACAAGAAGTATCATACTAAATAGAGGATATATAATCAAACATCATGTGACTGGTGGTCCCTATGTGGCATAAATTGTTTGTGCCTGACATGAAGAAAAGTGTGGCATCAGGATTGGCAGGAGATTCATCAATAACCTATGTTAAGCAGATGACACAATTTCCTTGCTGAAAGTGAGGAAGGCTTGAAGCATTTGTTGCAGAAGATCAAGGAATGCAGCCTTAGGTATGGATTGCATCTCAATGTTGGTAAAATGAAGATTCTTACCACTGGACCAACAGGCAGCATCATGATGGATGGAGAGGTGACTGAAACTGTCAACAGCTTCACCTTGCTTGAATCCACAATTAACACCCTTGTACCAGCAGTCATGAAGTCAGGAAACACATTGCACTGAGAAAATCTGCAGTTAAGGACCTTTCCAAATTACTGAGGAGTGGTTATGTCCGTTTGAGAACTAAGGTGTGTCTGATTGAGGTCACAGTCTTTCTGATTACTAGCTATGCATCCAAGACCTGGACAATCAATAAAGATGACAGAAAAAGAACTGACACCTTTGAGCCGTGGTGTTGGAGAAGAGCACTGAACATCATATGGACGGCCAAAAAAAAAAACCAGATATGTTTTGGAGAGAGTGAAACCAGGTGTTCTTTGGAGGCAAGAATGATGAGGCTTCACCTTGCATATTTTGGACATGTTGCTAGAAGGTGCTATTCCTTGGAGAGGGACATGATGTTAGGAAGGTAGGAGGGTTGGTGAAGGAGAGGAAGACCTTCAACCAAGTGGATTGATACAATGACTGCTGCAATGGGCTCTTGTGTGTCAGGAAGTGTGAGGATGGCATGGGATAGAACCGGGTTTAGATCTTTTGCTCATAGGGTAGATATGAGTTGTCACTTGACTTGATGGCATCTTGATAGCAACAATAACAACAACTAACCTAAAGGTTGAAGGTTTAAATCAGCTACTCCTCTCTAGAAAGATGTGAAGTCTCTTCCTTCAAAAGTTACAGCTTCAGAAACCTGATGTGGGGTTGGCTATGGGTCGATGGTACTGGGATGAGGAGGCTCTAGTGGTGAGGTCCATAGTGAGCTGTGCTGTTAACTCAGAGGCTGTATGTCTCTGGTGGTTTGAGTCCACCAATAGCTCTGTGGGAGAAAGACCGTCGGTCTCATCAAGTTTCGGCTTGCAGCCTTGGAAACATGATGGAAAGTCTCCTGGGGTTGGAACCACACTGATGGCTGAGTTTTGAGTGTGAGTGGAAGAATGGGCTGGTGAGTTGGTTAAGATGACAACTGGGCAAACATTATGGAGTGTGGTTCTCCTCTATCACACAGGAGATCACCACGAACTGGAACGGAAACACAATGGCAGTGGGTTTGGTCTTCATATTTAATGTGAACATATTCAGAAAGAGAAAAATAACCTTGGAGCAAAACAATGTCCTTCTTAGTGGTTGCTGGTGTCGCACAGCATGTCTGCATCCAGTAACATAGGCAGGGTAATCTGTCTTGGAACTCATTTGTGAGAATCAGAGACCCAACTAAGAATTAAGGTAAGGCAAGAAAGGTTAGGTCATCAGGAACCTAAGTGCCTTAAGTATGGGGGGAAGGAGAAGAAATGCCCTGGTGGCCTGGTGAGTAAAGAGTAAGGCCTGGTGCTGCCAACCCAAAGGTATGTGTTTCGAATCCATCTGCTGCTCCATGAGGAAAGATGGGAAATCTCTTCCTGTGTGATTTACAGCCTCTTAAGGCCTGCTGAAGGGTCAGCTGTGAGTCTGTTCCAACTTGATGGCACACAACTACAAAAGCAACAACAACAACATGTACCTGTCCATAGCTGGGCCAACCAAGAACAGAGAAGGAATAGGTTTTTCTCCTCTACCCTTTTGAGGGACACTTAGATGGGAACTAAGAAATCACCTGACACTAAAGCAGTGTTTGATCAGGCTGAGTGGCTGGTGTTAACTCCAGGAAATGAATGGTGTAGCTGACTGATTTGTTATTCTCCTGTGTGTGTTTACAGGAAACACGTCCATCTCCTGTTGGATCTATGCAGCCAGAATCCCACTGTTTATTATTCCATAGTCACCTGCTCTTCCCCAGGCCTCGGAAATGCTTTCCATTGCTTCTCTTTTCCCAGCCACTTCGACATGAAAACATCTGTTTGAACATTCTGAGTCCAAATATCACTCAGCGCTTATAACAAATTTACTCACCCACTGATTCCAATGATAAATGTTTTCATCATTAGCTTGAAAAGCACGACTTCTTAAAAATTTCCTATAACAAAAGCAAAACCCAAATGGAGAGCTTATCATTGTGATGTTTAAAGTGGCAAAATAAAGCAGCATAATTGGGAAGGCCAGCGATGGGGAACACGGGCAGTCATCTCTGGCTAGTCCCACCCCGGATCATCAATATGCCACAGAAGAGCTTCACACTCTATTTTTTTTTCACTCTGCCACATTCTACTTGGAAGTGTCAAAAACTGTTGCAAGCTCAGGACAGAAAACCGATAGCAAAGGTGCTAACAGGGCCCATGGCCAAGCATATGCCCTTGAAGGTGTCTGATTTCAAGGGTGAGGAAGTGTTGCTAGGACACAGCATGGTCCAGAGGTTCATACTCCCCTGAGCCTGCTCATGTTTCACCTGCAAATTCATGCCCTTGGACACAACCTATTAGTCTCAAAAATTCATTGCTACTGAATCAGAACCAACTCAGAGCTGAACCTCGTGTGGGTTTCTTAGGCTGTAAATCTCACTGGAGAAGATTATTCACCTTTCTCTGAGGAGTGCTGGTGGATTCGAACCACCAAAGAGTGCTAACCTTTGAGTTAGCAGTACAATACCCTAAAGACTGCGTCACTGCTCAAGGCTGACTTTTCTTTTCACTCTTGTATAAGAGGAAAAGTCACTGCTGGTCTGAGTCAGAAGAAGGCTAATACCATTAGAAGGCTAGCTGTAAGGCCCAAGCCTGTGATGTCAGGTGGCCTAGTGGTAAGGAATTTCACTGTAGCACAAAGGAGGATGTTCAAACTCACCAGGTCGTCTGTGTAGATGGCCAGGTGATCTCCTCCTGGGAGATTTACGGCTTCTTCAAACCTGCTGGAGAGTTCTTACTAGAAGGCAAGCAACAACACAACAACAACAACAAACGCTGGCTCAGTTAAGTGCTCAGCTGATAAAGGCTAGGCTGGCCATTCCAACTCACACCTGCAGAGCAAAGACCTGGCAATTTAAGTCTGTAAAAATGGCAACCTAGAAAATCTTAAAGGGCAGTTATCTTGTGTCTCAGGGATCACTAAGTTAACAAAAGACTTGATCATACCCAACAATAAGGCCAGGATAGGTGAACTTCTAAACAAAACAGTTCAGATAGGAAATATGTGAAACTTTGCCCACCAAGAGGAAGAATCAGGGTTGGTCTGTAAGCAAGAAAATATGTTGCTGTTGGGTGTAGGGCTCAGGTGGCCTGATGGGTAAGGAATCAGGCTGCCAACCTAAAAGCACACAGTGAGAATACACCAGCTGCTCTCAGAGGGAATGAGGACAAATCATGTCACATACGATTTACAGACTCTAAACAATCACTGCCCGGCTTTGTTAGTTATGAGCTGGTTCCAACCAGGGAAGTTGAGATTTTCTTGTTAAGCCATGAGGTGCTGTCAACCCATAGTGACCCTACATACAACACCGCCCAATCCTCCGCCATCCAGACAACTGTTACTATGATGAGCCCACTGGTGCAGTCACTGTCTTTACCCATCTTGTTGAGGGGTTTCCTCATTTTCGCTGGCCCTCTACTTGGCCATAATGGCCTTGCCAGGGATTGGAACCTTCCGACAACATGGCCAAAAGGAGATGTCTCATTTTTTTTAAAGACATTTATTTGTTCTTCTGCCAATGGTATATTAAAAATTCTTTGCCAACAACAAAATTCAAAGGTATCAACGTTCGAAAAGTATCAACTTTTAAAAGGTATCAACTTTTTTTTTTTTTTAAAAACCCCCAGTTTTAGCCCTAAGAGAGATGCAAATTAAAACAACTATGAGATATCATCTCACCCCAGTCAAAATAGCAAAATTTAACAGAACAGCAAGCACAAATGCTGGCGAGGTTGTGGAGAAACTGGAACCCTTATTCACTGTTGGTGGGTGTGTAAAATGGTGCAACCCCTGTGGAAAGAAGTATGGCGCTTTCTCAAAAAGTTGCAAATAGAGATACCATTTGACCCAGCAATTCCACTACTGGGAATATACCCTGAAGAGACCATAGCTGACATCCAAGCAGATATATGCACACCCATGTTTACTGCAGCTTTGTTCACAATAGCAAGGAGTTGGAAACAACCAAAGTGCCCATCAATAAACGAATGGCTAGAGAAGCTGTGGTATATTCGCACAATGGAATACTATGCTGCATTGAAAAACAAGGAACTCATGCAATATTATTCAAAATGGTTGACTCCGGAGAACATTATGCTGAGTGAAATATCCCAGTCACAAAAGGACAAATATTACATGATGCCACTGTTGTAGAATGGGACTAACCTCAGGGTTGGGGTGAGACTGAGTAAGATGGGTTCAATAATGTATATTGCACTGAAACAGAGGAGGGAGAAAACTGTTTAAAAGAGATATGTGACTAGGTATTTCTGTCATCACAGGAGTCTAGAGCGATGGCTCCATGGTGGAGGGGACCTGGGGGAGGGTTTGTAAAACAATGAAAGAATCTTTTCTTTTACTTTTCCATAATTTTTGACTCATGTACTTACAACTTGTTAGTTAAATTTGTGTCTTCTAGGTTGCAACCCCCCCATGATACATCTTCAAGGATATGAACACGTATGGCTAAGCACAATTAACAACAGTGCATCTAAATTCCAAAATCAATCTCCATAATAGTCTATGTGTTTCCTACTGCCAAAGGGGTCCTTTAGAGTAGTGAGAGAAGATCTTCACCCTGAAACCCACAGCGTCCCTTTTCAGCAGGAAGTAGCTAAGAGAATATGCCATCCCCTTTTCCTTATGACTCAGGGTGAAGTCTCTCTCAGGGAGGAGTGATAGGGAATGGCAAAGGACACACTGACAAAGAAGATTAATCAGAACTGACTTTGACAAGCACTGTGGCAATTGGACAATTAAAACAGACATTCGGATGGCGGGGGAAGAACAACAAACTGGGGAGCAGGGTAGAGAGAATGGTGCAGCAATGAAGGAATGAAAACCCAAAATCTCTGTAAATGTTCATTAAAACTAATAAAATGTAATTAAAAAAACAAAAACAAAAAACCCCAGTTTTCCATTTAACCACTCATTCATATAATGGTATCAATCATTTGGCTTTTCTTATTCATTGCCCAGCTTTCCCATGTTTCGGAGAGTTTTAGAAGGACCATGGCTTAGGTCAGGCACAACTTAGTCCTCAAAATGTTTCTTTTCCTTTTTAGCATTTTAAGAAAGGTTTTTTACAGCTGCAATATGTTGTCTGATTTCCATGCACCCCCCTTCCTTTGGTGTCCTCTTAAATTTTATTTATTTTGCTGTTGTTGTGGAGAATGTATACAAGAAAACACACATCAGTCAAGCAGTGCCACATATACAATTTATCAACATTGATTACACTCTGCGAGTTGTACAGCCATTCTCACTCTTCTATCGTTGGTATAATATTAATGCCCCTAAGGTTCCTATCCAGTATCTGGATTTGTTTTTATCAATCTGAACCCATATGTATATGATTTGATTTCCTTACTACTTCTTCCATGGGTGCTGATTATGGATGTATATAAAAAAGAAATTCTTTGACAAGTTCAATATTTTCTCCACTTATCATGAATATTCTTTGTTGGTCCAGTTGTCTTTATGTTGGTGTATAATCCACATGGAAGGTTGTAGGTTTTGATTTTCATCAGCAATTATTTCATTCCTTTTGACTTTCTTTAAGCAAGATTACTTCGTCTACATACTACAGGTTGTTAATGAGTCTCCTTTCAATCCTGATGCCACATTCTTTACACAGACTAGTTTATATAAATTGCTCAGCACAGATTTTAAAGCATGCATTACCCTGTAGTTATATCTGAACAAGCATTTCTTGGTCTCTGAACAAGTTCTGAATGGGCACAATTAAATATTCCAAGGTACTTGTTATGCACAATGATATGCATAATTTGTTGTATCTACACTGTCAAACGATTTTGCATAGCCAATGAAAAATAGGTAAATATCTAATATTCTTTGCTTCAGCAAGATTCAATTGGTATTAGTAATGACATCCCTTGTTCTATGCTTATATTTCTTATTTTTGTTGATAAACTGGTGTTATAATTTTTGAATTATGTTAAGCAAAATTTTAGTTACACTTCTTATTAATGATATAATAAAATAATTTCTTCACTTTGTTACTTTTCTCAGGAGTCACAGCATATCAAGCTAGTTGGTCAGGTAGTTGTCCTGCAAACTGGCTGGCATATGCTTGTTGAACCACCTCAACTAGTATTCTGTCAGTTCCTGAAGCTTCTCTGCTTTTCCACCAATGCCATTGGTGTGCTGTGCACTTCTTCCTTGGTACTTCCCTTTCGTGACAACAGGCTACCTACTGCAATAACTTAGCTCAACCCATTCTTTTTGATATAGTGATTCTGTGTGTTTCTCCTATCATCTTCTAATGCTTCTTTGTCACTCAATTTTTTTACCCATATTGTTGTTGTTAGGTGCCGTCATATGGCAACTTGAAGCTGGCATTTTATTAATTTATTTATTTTTAATGAGAAATCCTGAACATGTTCTTTCCTTTTGATTTTCTAAATTTAGGTCTTCGCTATTTCATTATAAATCTTTGCCTTCTCAAGACAGACACCTTTTGAAATCTTTGGTTCAGTTGTTTTACTTCATCTTTTCTTCTGTTCCCATTAGATACTCTATATTTAAGAGTGAGTATCAGAGTCTCTTCTGATGTACAATTAGGTCTTACCTTTAATTTCTGTCTTCTTAGTGTCCTTTTGCTTTTCATGCATGATGTCCTTGATGTCCCAGCACAATTCTGGTCATTAGTTTCAACAGATCACAATCTATTCTTGAGATATTATCTACAACCACATGGGCTACAATAAGTACTTAGGCTCTCACGGGATTCAAATATTTTTGTTTAGCTTCAATCTGAATTTGCATATGAGTCACTGAAGGACTGTTGTGCAGTTGGCTCCTCGCCTTGCTAGGACAGATGATATTTATCTTCTCTACC